CAGTGTGGTGTCACTTATGTTATTTGATCGTGACGCAAAGAAACTTCTCGAAGAAAACACATAAGAGTTGCTTCTAAAGTTTAATGAAGTTATCAATATTAACTTCATTTACATAAAACTAATTTTTACTTTTTGTCTGTCTATTTTTATAACCGTTAATTTTTTTCATTTGTAGGAGGGTAATATGAAGATTATACGTTTGCTTTAAAATTACTTTTGGATAACTTAGTGTTCAGAATTCAATTTTCTCATTATAATTTGAAGAACAATGTTGATAGTTATGCAATCTCAAACTTCAATGTTGATAACAAAATCACAGTTGAATTGGAAAAAAAATAATAATAATAACATCGAACATATAACATTCTTTTACGAAACATACTACAAACCTACACTTATTATATTTGTTTTTTTATATTTTAGTTGATCAAGTAATATGTTCTATGTACTACAAATATAGACGTTGTAATCCGATTTGTTTAACGTTTTATCGGTGAAATTCGGATGTCAAGACACATTACATTTATAGGTTTTAAATATAATATAATTAAATCTAATATTTTAATTACTTTAAAATTTTATTAACTTTTAGATTGACATGAATTTATTGTCAATATTTAGGATGCAATTTCGTTTACTGATGATAACGTCATACTCACTTCAAATCATGATAAAAGTATTGCAACAAGTCCACCAAGTAAGTGAACATCCTTTAAAAAGTGTCTAGACATGAATAATTAAAACACAACTTGGAAGATGTTTATGATGTTGATAATCTGGAAACAATGTCCTCAACTAAACGACCATTAACATCAATGACAGATCGTACTTCTGGAGAAGTCAAGCCAAAACTGTTAATTCCAAAGAAAGAAAGTAATATATGATTTTCATGATTTTATATGAGTAGTTGGGTGATTTGAGTACGGTTGATTTCACATTATGTTTACATACTATTTGATTTTTGGGTTTGGTTTTTGATTACTTTGTTTCATAGTATTCGTTTTTGGGGTTAAATTTTGATCATTTAAATACATTTTGGGTTTTATGAAATGTCAAATAATTCATCTATTTTCCTTTTGGGTTTAAACTCATGAATTTAGAATTTTAATCATTTTTTACTCGATTATTTTGTTTGAATGTGAATTTGTCAACATTGTTACAATGTTATTCTTTACAACTTCAATATAAATAGTAACAAACTACAACTTTTTATGAAATTATAAACTTTTATAAATCTTCTAACCATTCTAAAACAATTATTTATAGGTCCTTTTGAATGTGTTGATAAATTTATTAGTAAACATCTATAATTGAAATATTTTTTTTTTTTAGATATTAATGATATCCACAATTTTACAGATTTAAATAATAAAACCCATTACAATGATGCTTGAGATAGGCGAAGGCTAAGACGCTTGAGAGTGGCGAAGGCTAAGATGTTTACATTTTTTTTTGGAAACGGAACTTCCCTAACGAGGGTTTTCGAACCAGTTTTCGCGCAACGACTAATCCCCATTGCGAACATGAGACTATGCCTCATGCATTGAAGTCACTGCAGGCAAACCTCCATGGCCACATAGGTTGAGTAGTGTCAGGATATGAACATGGGTTAATAGGTTATCCACCATATCTTCCACATGTCATACTAAGTCACCACAAACCAAGTGTAAGACATTTACATTTACAAAATAGAAGATTGAGTTATATGTCTAAAAAGGAAACTTTATTTCATCATCTAAAACAATAAATATTTTTTATTGTGTTTCACTTATACATTTTCCACCCTTAGATCAAATTGTTTACGTCATCTTGACAAATGATTGGTCAAACACATTGTCCATCAATGTTTCCGCTCAAACCTTCACCAATTTCTGTTATCCTTAAAATAAAATTCAAATCCTCCCCAAATTTAAAGTCATAACTTATGCACTGACCATCCTATATGTTTGAAAATCAACATGATATATCTTCTTAATTATTCTATTAATTTCTCAGTGTACATCGATGGTACCAAAATTCATCAAGGACAAAACAAAAACACTGTATTTAATTCTTATTAATATAGTAAATAGTTCCAATTTTGAAGATAATAATTGGTCTCATACAGGTTAACTTACAATTGTTCGATTTCCAACTATTTAACTCAATAACTTTATGTAATTATTCTTAACCTTATCTTTTTTCTATAACGTTATTGATTCGATTTACTAATTAAGTTTAAACTGCAAAGATTTTTACTTGAAAGTGATGAGCATTAGTTGATGTTTTTATTCAAGCTTGAGGATTATGCATAACTCAAAATCCATTAATGGTAATATCCTACATACTTAATAATTGATTATTTCGACAAAAGTACTTTCCATTAACTTTGATAACAAATTTTTAGAATTAAACATATTTTTATGATTATAAATTTGTTTTCTCTACTCACTTATACTTATCATCCTAAAGATGAAAAAAGATTAACCATGTCTATATTGAAAAGTGCCAAAAAGATCTTATTGATCATACCTTTCTGACATGATCTTCAAATGTTCTTTGTTTTTTTATTTGTTTTTGTGTATTTGATTTGTTTCTTCAAGAAACTCAGTTTTCTATTAATTTTGATAACAAATTTGCTGAATTACGCATACTTTTATTTTTATAAAATTGTCCACATTCTATTGTTAAATCAAGTGTAAATGAATTTAAACAATCATTAAATTTCATATTCTATAATGTAATTTATGCACTAATTAATCAAATAATATTACATATCTACGTGGTCGGGTACCTCTAATACAATAAGCAAACATGTAAATTTTATGCAATTTCATAATATTGTAATTTTTTACTGGATTTAAATGAACAATTACTTCTTTCACTTGATTTAGATTCTTGATTACTCATATAAGGTTGTAATAAAATAAAATTTTGATAAATTGAAAAATTGTTCAGCAAAACCTTAAAATTTTGAAAGTTGTTGGAAATTTGGTTATATGCCAAGTTAGGCTTCTTTTTGTGTTGTTATGTTTGTTGATTTGGTTATGTAGGGTTCATTCGAAGTTCCATTTCTCTACAAGAATGTTAACGTTCACATCCAAGTGGAAACACTCACAATTGGTAAGCCTTCTAAAAGATTTTTTCACTTACATTAATCAAAACTGTTATTTTAAGTGGTTCGTTCTCTTGGATGCCACACCGGTTGTCACTATATAGACCTTCTAGCCATCTAAAGAAGAATCTTAACGACTTTATGAAGAATTTTGCTGCTTTTTTAATGAAGTATCACTCTGTCAACATTCTTCTCTATAGTTATTTCTCTTATTTTCGATATAGATGTGTGTCACAACAATAAGGCAGAAAGAGGTGTTAGTGACCATTAAATATGAAAATGTAATATATAATTTAAGAATAATATATAAAGTGTAAATTGCATATTTATAATATTTATTTCAATGAAAAATATGTTGTTTAATTGTTAGGTTACATATCTCTTTTTTTATAATTATAATTTGATTTTGACAAGTTTGATCTAAATTTGATAATTGAAGCATGTAGGAACACTACTAGAAAACAGCCCTTTAATGACGCGCAAACAATGACACGTGGTGATTTACGATACACAAAAGCATGTGCCCTAAAAATAATGTTATCTCTTCTAAAATTTGAAGGATAATGGACACGCTTTTATGCCTGCCCTAAAATTAATGTCGAACAAAAAAAAATAAAAACATGGAGGGCACTTATTTAAAAATGGGTGTCGTCTAGAAATGTCGCTTTATATTTTTTTAATGAAAGGCGCGTTCTCTTCTTTTGCAGCTGGGGGGAAACGAAAATCCGAAAAATTTGAAAGGCCGCCATTGTTACCCTCTGCCTTATTTCCATCGTTCTTCTCTCTCTCTCTATCTCTCTCTCTCTCTCTCTCTCTTTCTCTCTCTCTCTCTCTCTATCTCTCTCACTCTAATACCCAAAAAAACCCTAATAACATCACCAATCCTCTTTTTTCCCACAACAGAATCACAATATGATCCCGTCTTTTGAACAGATCAAACCCACAGGGGTTCTCGACGAAAGAGATACCGCTTCATACGAGCCCTAATTTCTCATCTGAATTCGTTAACTTCTTCAAATGGTTCTCAGACTTTTTTCTCTCTTTACATTTTCTTCTCCTTCATTTCTCGATCCACAGAAGGTCAGGAGAACGCTGCATCTGCAATCAGATTGCTAGGTCGTAATCCTGAGAGCGTTGAACGCCGGTGTATGCTCGGTGTTTAAGGTCCCATGAAAGAGTAAGCAGTTGTCGCCTAGGCTATATTGTTCGATTAACACAATTCATCAAACCCTAGAATCGTAAAGGAAACCTAGCCCCCATAGCTTTCTTCACACTTCACCTCCTCAAATCTCACCTCACAAAATCTCACCTCACGCTCTTATAGTTCTCTGTTTTTTGTGACTCGTTTCAAGGAGGTTCTTTTTCATTTCTCTTCAATGTTCGATATGTTTGATGCTACTTTAGATCATCAAGATAAGGACAAGTTGAATATCGATAGGTAGTTTTATGGGCGTGAAGCTCTAAATGTGATTGCGTGTGAAGGAATGGAATTGAGCATTCCTCCCCCTGGGCTAATTCCCCTAGCCATGGCCTTCTTCACTCCAAACCAGGTATGAACATATATTTATGTGTATATATTTTAAGTTAATTCATCGATGGTTGATTAGGTGTGTTTATGTTTTCAGTTGATACATATTAATGCTTATTTGATCAAGGAAGTGGCAAGAACTTACAAAATGGTTCCTGTGTTAACCATGTTTAGTCAAAAATTGAATTCTTTTACAGTTTCATTCCTTGGAACCTTGAAATTAGGACCATAACTGAAAAATGCACCAACTTTGAAACCAAACATGATAAACATCAGAAAGCACATAGACCATTTTTGTAATGTACTCTAATTTTAGGTTGCAAGGGCATTTCAGGCAGCGCCTAAACTTCTATGTTTGAAGATAAAGTTTCACTTCTACGTTATGCTTTGCAAAGGGCTTTTCAGGCAGCACCTAACCGGCTTATGACTAACAATGCCTACCTGGCTTTATTGGGCGCCTCGGTATGACTTCATATTCAGTATTGTATATATGAATTTTTTTCCCCTTTTAAGAAACTAAAAAATAGTATCTTTTTGTACCAGTTAAATGCATCCACAATAGATGAGGGACTAAACTTCTATGACTCACAACATCGCTTTGAGCACTCATAACTTCTGTTGGTTCTTTTGAGTTCACTTCCACATGCGCCAAAGACTTTTCAGTGTCGCGTATTACAGGTACTGTTGTTTCCATTTCTACCCTTGTCCCTAGAAATTTTTTTTTGTATATTTACTTCTCCATTTGATTTCAGGATCTTTTGATTTTGGCTTGCAGTCATGCTGTTTCCATTTATACCCTTGTCCCTGGGGAGTATCCTTATATTCTTATACTCATTTCTCATATTCTATATATAATTTTATTAGCTTTTCTATCTTTCTGCAGTTATATTTAGTCGATTGGATCCAGGAGAAAAACTCGTTATAGGTTGTCGAAAAGCAACAATTTCTGCTGAAACACAGGTATAATTCTTTTAACACACACATACATACATACATTTATGCATGTATTATGTTAATGAGTGAATCTCTATGAAAAAAACAAGCAGAAAGGTGAAACAGAAGCTGTCAATGGTGTAATATTTTAAGGTGATCTCTGATCTTATTAATACAACTCAACAAAGATATGAATTCAAATAAAATTAAAATTAAAATTGATTTTATAGGATGCAAAGTCGGATCGATTGAAGCAACTATTGAAAGAGACCGAGAAGTATCTCCAGAAGTTTGGATCAGCAGAGCCTTTGAAGCAGATAATGGTCTAAATGATAATAGTGAATTTACTATTGAGAATGAAGATGAAACAAATCAGGCCAAGGTATGTTCTATCTTTTGTTACTTTACACTCTTATAACCTTTGTTTGACTTTTAATATCTTATTAATAAATATTTTGGCTTCTACAACATTACATGGAGAGCAATGAAAAGTACTATTTGATGTTTCATAGGTACTTCATTAACTTTTTTATTTCCTTGTATGTTATTGCTCCTGGCTTTAATCAGTTGTTTTATTTTTTCAAACTCATCATCGGTTCAATGTTGTAGTGTCAAAGAACTTCTAGCAGATGAAATGTGCTTGGGGAAAATTGTTCAGGTAGTATGAGGACTGAGGTATAGGTGGGCAAAACAATTAGTCCAAACTGATCCTAAAAATATGTATATGAACTAAATTGATCATGGACCAATCTTAGACTGTTCAGTCCGGACAGAAGTCCTGCTCTGTCCTTCAAAATGTTACACATGGCAGTCCAAAACCGATCCTAAACAGGTCCAAAATTAAACTTCCAAAAACAAACCAGTCTCTTTTAGATCGAATCCAAACCAGACTCTTTTAGATTGAATCTAAACTGTTAAGGAGGTTTGTTCTATGCCTCTATTCAACCCCAAAATCTATTCTTTTCATGATAAACAAACCCCATTTCTTTTAAAGGTAAGTTTTCAAAGATCAAGGGTGTAGGAGTCTTTGGTAATAATGCACAAGATACAAATATTCCAGTAGAAGTGTGGAGATACTATTTGCTAACTAATAGACCAAAGGTGTAACTTTTATTCAGTATATAAATTAAAAATGTGATCTCTCACTTTTTTTCTTGTTTCCTTCTCTTTCATTGATTATTGGGTTTACTTGTGTAGGTATCAGACATATTATTCACATGGATAGATCTTCAAGCAAAACTCAACACTGAGTTGCTGAATAATTTAGGCAATTTCATTAACCGTGTCTTGAGCTTTATTTCTAAAGATCCAGGTTAGTAATTGGCACCAATTTAACCTAAATTAATGGGATTAAGATTTTAAGGGTGCAATTTACATTATTTTCTACTTTCATGCCCTAAACCCTAAACCCTAAATGCTAGGTTCTTTTCTTGCACTACTATCTTATCTTTTTTACTTGAAAGTGGTATGAAGTGAATATTTGGATATGATGTTGAAGATTGATTATTGGTGATTTTTTGATTGAATCTGAAAAGTTTTGTTTCTGTTGACAGATTCAAGAGGTGGTAGAGGTTCAGGATAAAATTCCATCATTCTGGATGCTCCATCTGTTATCAAACACACTAGGAGATAAAATTGGTGCTTATGTGGAACAATATGTGGAGACACAGCTATAGCAGGTCAAGTTGCTGCACTTGTCCTTTGCCACACCAGAGAACTAGCTTATCATGTCATATTTTCATTTGTAACCCTCCAACAATTTGAAAATGTTAATTTTCACCCATGTCTTACTCTTTGTATCTTGGGTGAGATTTGTTGCAGAGAACTAGCTTATCAGGTAACTAGCTTTCTCATTTCTATAAATTATACAAGATTGTATCTCATGCAAAATATTTATAATGTCTCTGTTTTTTATTGTTGAACAAAGGAAGGATACCCTTCAATATGATGTCCTTGTTCAAATAATTGAGATTTATAACGAGCAAGTTCGGGATACCCTTCAATATGATATTCTTTTCATTTAATAAATTTTCTCATCTCATTAAATGAAATCTTTGCACCGAATCTTCTTGGTTGGTTTCCGGTTGATCAAAATAATTTTTCGTTTTTCATACTGCTGATTTTGATCCTAGTCAAGACTCTTGGGTAATGAGTTTCATTAGAGTTTTTTACAAATTTTCTTTTCATGCATATGCCTCCAACAAATCCACTTAGTGAAATGATGCCATTCTAGTACGTGTAAATCTTGAAGAAGCTAAGTGTTACTTTTTCTTTTTGAGGGAATAATAATATTCACTGATATTATGATATATGATGTTGCCTTCTCAGGAACTGAAGTCAATGTAAGTCAAAACATGAGAAATATATAATATCTACAGGAAAAATTACTGATAGATGTGTCTGGATGGCTTCATCAATACATAAGGGTAAAGAAGAAGGTGATGTGGTGATTAACTGATTACTAAAAGTTTTAACATTCTTTTAACAGAAGTGCTAATACATTTTGGGTGTTATTTGGTGAATCTTTGTTAGGCATGTGCTATATCAACTGATGAAAAATATGTTAATTTATATCTCCATCATTATACAGGTAAGATTGGTGAAAAACAAGGACAACAATGAAATCAAGGGTTTTTGTATTAATTTGTAGCAATCAGGCATCCATGGAATCAATTCACGACTCTCTTGCTGAGGCATTGGTTAATTTGACAAAGGAGGTAGAGTTTCCTTTCTTTTCATTATGTTATACATTTTGGATGATAAATGTCTGTATTACCCTTTGATCTCATATGTTTTTTTTTTGGTGCAGTGTGAAAAATTATGGTCAAAAGTGTATGTTGTCTGGCCTAAAAGCAGAACTAGAAGCATTAAGACGAAGGCACTCTAATGTACTGGAGTTGATGGGTGAAAGAGATGAGGAGGTAAAATTACCTTTTCAATGTGAGTTGCTGCATCTTTAGCCTTACTTACAGTTCTGACTTCTGACTTCACTTATATACCTCTATGTGGTGTTTATAGAGAATTATCCATATGCTCACACAAATTTTTGTAGCTGATTACACATTAATTTAATTATGCAGGTTTTGAAGTTTTTGATGGAAAAAAATAGTGTTAATGCTCTTCATAGAAAAGTATGTTGGTATTTTAGGAAATTTGGCTAATAATTTAGTTAATTATATAAAAAATGTTGAAATGTTACATTTGTCTACTATTGGAATGATTATTTGTATTACATTAACTTTTGTGCAATGTATTGTATTTTTTGTATATGATATGTTATTCTCTATTATGAGACATAAAATACAAATTTAATTTGAAAATTAGTAAATCTATAAATAATTTTTTTTTTTTAAAATTTAAATTACGATATGCAAAAATGTGTGTCGTGTTCATTTATGACATGACCTTTCTTGACACGGGCTTCCTTGATACGCATTATGTATCATAAACACGCGCGTCGTAAGGTTACGACACGCAAATGCGTGTCATCTTCCTTTATGACAGGGCCTTCCTTGATACGCATTGTGTGTCATAACCGCGCGTCGTAAATGCGCGTCATCTATAGATGACGCGCAAAAGCGCGTCGTCTATCTTTATGACATGGCCTTCCTTGACGCGCATTTGCGCATCGTCTGAGCGTTTTACGACGCGCAATGAGCGTCGTCAAAGGCTTTTTTTCTAGTAGTGGAAGATACGTGCTAACGATTTTGAATTTGTATTACCCTATAGAAACCAACTGTAACCTCATAGACCATTCCCTCATATCTCGGTAGGTCTTAACATTTCCCAAAATTCAGCTACAAGAAGTCATGAATTCCCTTCTTGAACAAATCCTCTAAACCGAATTTCATTTGTTAGTTGGATGTAGTGATCAAAATGCAAGATTTGTGAAAGTTCGTTATTATTTACTAGTGTTAACCTTTAGCAAATTATGAAACTAATATTATTATTTTTGCTCATAACATGTTTTTTTGTAATAATTTATTTGATCGCAAGATATGTATATGAGATTGGATGTAACCTGAAAAATCATATTTTAATTTTTATAAGGAAAAAATACTTTGAAATCGACTAAATTACAATGTCTGAATTTGATGTTTATGGTTATGACAATTCACTTTGTGTGTAATGTTTATCGAATTTCTTTGTAGAATTTAATGTTGTCGGTACATATAACAACTTATTGTTGTTTTTGGTTTTACAGGGCCAATATGAAAAGAGACATATGAGCCTCCATGGGGGTTGGTACACTAAACAAAGTCAATTCATAAAGCTACTACACAACATGTTTTAATCAAGAAGTCGCATTACGTTGTGATAAAACAAAGATTGCATAGATCATTTATGTTAAAAATTACTATATTAAAAAACCAAATTGCTCTAATATAAATATTAAATATTTTTATCTAATAAGTTTGGTTCAAAACTCTAAAAATGAATCTAACTAACATTTTTTTTATTAAAATTCAACCTAAGACAAAACCACTTATTAATGTGATATGTATTCAACCTAAGACAAAACTCTAAACGCGGGTTATAATCTAGTTCCTTAAAAAACCAACTTAAACTTGCAATAATGCCAATATCAGACATCAACAAGCTTTATGGTGTGAAAGAGAGAAAAATGAATCGTATATTTATAATGGAAAACCTCTAACCGTTTTCTTTTTGGAGTCGATGTGGGACTCCTTCATGCTACCAAATATTATGTCTTTTATTGTCTATATTTTATACTTCTTTTTTTCCTTCTTCTTTTTTTGTCCAACACAATAAAACAGTTCTTAATATCTATTTTCTTTCCTTCTTTTTTTTTGCCAAATACTAATAGGTAGGTCCTCATATTTTATAAGGTAGGTCATAATAATTTTGGTATATATTTTGTTGTATGTTTTGAAAATTTAGGTGGGTTAAAGGATCCACTTTACCATAATATAAACTCGCCACTGCGTAGAAGAATTAGATGAGGAAAAAGCGGTGACTAACGACTCAATGAGTTATCACTATTCAAGACAGCAAAACTATAGTTTTCGGTGAGAGAGACGAATAACACCGACAATCTACTGACATTGTTATTACGTTTGTAAGTGTAACACTCCAAAAAAAAACCATGAATCAATATTTTTACAAAAGAGTCATTGTTTCAGTAGCATTATTTCAAATGAGAGTTTTCCCAAGACCCGAAGAAATAAAAACTGGAATTTGTGTACGATCACGCCTTCGTCTTCCCATGATCCTCGGAAGTATCTGAAATCATAAACTAAAACTATAAGCCAAAGCTTAGTGAGTTCCCCTAAAGTATCATCACATAAACATAACCAACAACAACATACACATATGAGCCTTCAACATGATTGGACCGCCTCGTAGGAACTACAGCCTATATGGACCGTTCTTTGAGCCTTCGGCATGACTGGACCACCTCGCAAGGCCTACAACCAATTCGAACCGCCATCTGGGCCTTTGGCCTGACTGGACAGACTCGTAGGGCCTACGGTCTATCCGGACCACCTCGGGTATCTTGGCCTTCAGCACAAAGTAGGACCACCTCAACCCCTCCACAATATGTCGACATATACAACAGATAAACAAAAACACATACCCATTAAATACAGGTAGTCATATAGATCTAACAGATAACTACAACATAACAACATCCTATATACCATGATACAAATCTAACATATCACTACAATATAACCACATACAATAAAACTAGGATATCAATCCAATGGGGCGGCCTTGGTGCCTTCGACCCGTAAGTACAGTGAGGAAAACTCATCTCACAGTCTAAAGAATAGATGATCAATACTCTACTCCCCAAATACCGGCTCAACCTAAATCCTTTTAGAGGTAGCTAACCAGTGAAAAATCCCAGATCTAAGCCGCTTCCATGCTTTAAGGTCCTTGCATTAACTTCTTCTTCTTAACACCAACAAAGCACATAAAATGAGCTAAAAAGCACTATTCTCACTTAGGGTTTGATAGAGGGTCGAATTCTCAGTTGGAGGCTGATAAGGGAATGATAAATGAGGCTATAAAGATGCTTATATACGGACTAAACCCTATAAATAAGGGTTTGAGGTTTCATTACGTATGCCCTGCGTACGTGGGTCCTCCCTAGTACGCCTAGCATACACAACGTACGCTCAACATACTACCTCCTGGCCAGAATTACCAAAATGCCACTATGGGCCATACTTGCAATCTTTTCAAATCCAATGGCCAAAATGCAATGTTCTTTCATACTAAAGGTTAAAAATGAAAATAGCTCATCTTCGAGGTGTTACAATTCTCCCTAACTTAAACTAGACTTCGTCCTTGAAGTCGGCTATTGCTAATAACTCAGAGTAATGCTCCCGCATATCTGCCTCCGGCTCTCAGGTCCACTTGGAACCTTTCTGATGTTGCTACTGAACCTTCACCAAAGGTATCTCTTTGTTACGTAGAACCTTCATCCTTCACTTTACTAATGCTACCAGCCTTTCAATATAACCCGAGCGCTCATCGTCCTATATATCATCCAAATGGACCACTGCATCATCATTTTGCATAATTATTAAGAATTTTCAAATAAGTAGTTTAAAAAGGAATAATTAAAAATAATATTATATAAAAAAATATAATGTTATCTTTAAAAACAAAAATAATGTTTATTTTTTTAAATAATTAAAATCAAAGAAACTAACAATATTCATCAAATAAATTTTAAAAAAGTTAAATTTCTGAAATCAAATTAAATAATTAAAAGTTTCTAAATATATTATTTTAAATAACTTACAACAATAGTTAAAAATAACATTATATATACATAAATTTTATTGTTACCTTAAAAAAACAATGTTTGATATTTTAAATAATTACAATGATAAAAATTAAAATTTTAAGCAAATAAACATTTTAAAATCAATTTATCATAACAACTATAAATATCATTAAACCATTTATTATATTTAATTGTATTCATGAGTAACATGTAGGTAGAGGTCATTAAGACAAATGAAATTATAAAATTTTAAAAAATATCTACACTATCAAATAATTAAAAAAAAAAAACAAAGTTGATACCAACTTATTATAAGATTTATTATATAATAACTAACAACAATATTATTGATATATTTGAAAAACATATATTTATAATGATTTCTAATATATTGTTTTATTTTGCACAACACGCAAGCATTCGCCTATTGTGATATAATGAGAGCAAATTTAATCCACAGCACTATACATTCAAGTTTTTAATTTGACATAAATAGTTACCATAGAAGGGAATTTTAGTCTTTCACATAATCACATCTTTAAATCCGGGTTGATATATATATATATATATATATATATATATATATATATATATATATATATATATATATATATATATATATATATATATATATATATATATATATAGGTTCAGGTTAATTTGATATCATACTAATTTTGTGAGACCGGGAGACGCAATCAAAAATAATTTTAAAATACAACATAAAAGGAAAAATCTGAAAATTCTTTTTTTTTTTTATAATTATCATTTTCTTCACTCTTTTACCTAAAAAAATTACTATTTTTTAAAATACGTGAAATATTTTAATAGAATATTACACTCTAAATATTCTAATATGATTTTTAGAATGTTAAAATATTCAACCATATTTGTCAGATATGTAAAATATTATAATATTCTTCTAGAATATTTTAATATTCTACTAGAATATTTTAATATTCTACTAGAATATGTAAAAAATGATATTTATTTATTTATTTTTGGTATTTTTTATTTTTTTGGAAAATATAAACGATGAAAATAGTATTTGAATTATTTTTCCGACAAAATTTCAATTATTTTGCATTTTAAAGATGTTTTTTTATCTTCGAAATGAGTGGTTAGGATTACGTCTCACGGTCTCATAAGATTAAGCCGTCTCAAATGAACTTAACATTATATATATATATATATATATATATATATATATATATATATATATATATATATATATATATATTGGGCATCATGTTGGGAACCATCAATTACTCTATGTAATTTTACACTTTTAATAACTTTTAGTTAGTTTGCCAGACACTTCTATACAAATAAAAACAATAACTTTCAGCTATTAGCAGTTAGTTAGTTTTACAAAACATTCCTAACTATTTAAAGAACAGATTACTGAAATGGTCACCCTTGGGCCATAACATTTCTTTTGCACTCGGACCGTCCCTATGATTTTGGTTTTATTGTGTTATTTGTCCCTGTTTAATGTAAAAAGACTAATTTACCCTTTT